GGGGGGAAGGAGGAAGCCGTGGGAGGGAGGAAGAAGCCATGGAAGGAAGGAAGAAGCCGTGGGAAGAAGGAAGAAGCCGTGGGAGGAAGGAAGAAGCCGTGGGAGGAAGGAAGAAGCCGTGGGAGGAAGGAAGAAGCCGTGGGAGGAAGGAGGAAGCTGTGGGAGGAAGGAGGAACCCGTGGGAGGGAGGAAGAAGCCATGGGAGGGAGGAAGAAGCTGTGGGAGGGAGGAAGAAGCCGTGGGAAGAAGGAAGAAGCCGTGGGAGGAAGGAAGAAGCCATGGGAGAGCGGAACAAGCCGTGGGAGGGAGGAAGAAGCCGTGGAAGGAAGGAAGAAGCCGTGGGAGGGAGGAAGAAGCCATGGGAGGGAGGAAGAAGCCGTGGGAGGGAGGAAGGAAGAAGCTGTGGGAGGGAGGAAGGAGCTGTGGGAGGAAGAACCCATGGGAGGAAGAAGCCCCGGGAGAAATCCTGGTGAGGTGCTCATCCCGTATCCCCATCTTCACCAGTGTCGAGGTCCCACCAAGTGTCCTCTGCTCCTCCTCGGGCTTTGGTGGGAGATTGGCAGCTCCGAGATGTAAACCAGAGCACAACAATCCAGCGCCAACCCCCAAATTTCCCCTTTTTTAGCTGTGGGGTTTTTTTTCCCAACCCCAAGCATCGAGATGGGGTTCGCCGTTACCCAAGATTGCACCCCTTCCTTCAAGAAGGTGCCCCCGGCGTTAAAAGAGGACGCGTGGGTGGGCGCAAAGCCAAGGGCTGGCTTTCCCGAAGACCTTCGCTCCTCCAAAATCCTCCCACCCCATCCCTGACCCTCTCAGGGTCGGAGACGGGATGTGCGGTCTCCATCTCCCTCTGCTGTAGCTTTCGCTCCTCAACCCGAACCTCTAAATTCAACAAGATGTGCTCCGGCTCCAAAATATCTATTTTATTTTATTTTTTCCCCCCAAAGAACCCCGTTTTTTCCTTACTTCGATTGATGCAACCCAAGAGCCCGTCCCGGATTTCGCAGGTTTCGTCATCGGTGCAGCTGTGGCTGCTGCACGTCAAGCCCTGGCCGGGGACACACGTGCAGCGCCGTTGGCAGTTCTCCTTCAGGACCGATTCGTGGGGCTGCGGGGCGAGAGGACGGCAAAGCCATGAGAAGAGCGAAGGGCGTTACACGGAAACGCAGAAAATTACATAGAAGAGGGAGGAAAAAAAACCCCATCAGGTTGAGGTCTACTGGAGAGAATGAACAGTTTCGGAAAACGGCTGAGGAATTTATAGCTTTCGCGGCAAAAATACGCAGAAAAAACCCATTCCTTTGCCCTCTTCCCCCTTTTTTGAAGGAAAAAAATGACGATATTATTTAGCGCGTTCGGCTGCGGAAAGCACCGCTTCTACCTGAGCATCCACGTTATGCCGAGCGATAAAAGAGGTGGAAACGCCCCCGATTTTTTCTTCATATGCGTTGTGCTTTAGGCCGCCTTGGAGCGATGCGCTGCTGCGCAGGAAGAAGGAAAATGCTAAAAAAAAACCCTGAACCCGCCCAAAAGTTGGGACTTTCCTACCTTGTAATACTTCCCCTCCACGAAACATCCGCAGTCCTCCTCGCGAACGCAGCCGTGTCCGTCAAATTGGTAGCCTTTATCGCAGTCGCAGCCTTCGACGCAGGTTTTGGGGCATTTGGAAGAGTCTCCGAACCCGGCGCAGCTTTTGTGGCAGAGGTTGGAGCAGAGGGAGTAGCTGCTGTTGGCCGGACAGCTGAGGGCTGGAAGGAAAAAAACCATAATCCCAATATTATCTGAGCCCAAATCCAGGGTTGGGTGAAGAACGGGTGGAGAAGAGCCCCGAGGAGAAGGATTTGAGGGGGGATCTCCATGGGGGAGAAGCTCAAGGTGAGCCGGTGGCCCAGCAAGCCACCGGTGACCTGGGTTGCGTCCCCAGTGGGGCGAGGGAGGTGGTTCTCCCCTCCTTGGGGAGACCCCACTTGGAATATTGCGTCCGGCTTTGGAACCCCCAACAGCAGAAGGTCCCAGAGGTGTTGGAGTGGGGCCGGAGGAGGCCCCGGAGATGCTGTGAGGGCTGGAGAACCTCTGCTGGGAGGACAGGCTGGGAGAGCTGGGGGGGTTCAGCCTGGAGAGGAGAAGGCTCCGGGGAGACCTGAGAGCCCCTTCCAGTGCCTGAAGGGGCTCCAGGAGAGCTGAGGAGGGACTCTGGACCAGGGAGGGGAGCCATGGGACGAGGGGGGATGGTTTTAAACCAAAAGAGGGGCGATTTAGAGGAGATATGAGGCAGAAATTCTTCACTCTGAGGGTGGTGAGACGGTGGAACGGGTTGCCCCAAGAAGCTGTGGCTGCCCCATCCCTGGAGGTGTTCAAGCGCAGGTTGGACGGGGCTTGGAGCACCCTCGTCTACTGGGAGGTGTCCCTGCCCACGGTGAGGGGGTGGAACGTGATGGTCTTTAAGGTCCCTTCCAACCCGAACCATTCCACGAAGACGGAATGATGGGTGGAAGAGCCCCAAAGCTGATGAAAAGCCACCGCGTGGGCGCTCGGTGGTGGGGCCAAGCGGGGAAAAAGCCGCTGTGAGCACCATCTGGGGGAATCCGTCTTGGCGTCGGCTTTTCCCGTTGACCCCCGGCGCCAATGAGAGTCCACCCCGTTGGCGCTTGCCTTCGCTTCTCCTCCTCCCCACCCCAAAACCGGGGATGAAAACGCACCCGCTTGGCGTTGGCTGTGACTTTCCTCATTTCTCCTGGATGCCCATGAAAAACCCCCTCTCTCCATCGGGGCTGTCCCCACGCCCGTGTTCGTTTTCGACGCCACCACCGTCCTCCCCCCACACCCATTTTGCGTCACCCCACGCATCCAGGGTGGTCCCCGCAGGCACCCGGCCCCAACGCCCCTTCGAAATAAATCGCAAAACCCGACCTATTCTTCAACTAATCCCAACGGGATGCGATTTCCTGGCTGTGGAGGACATTTCCCACCCGTGCCCCACACTTACGGCAGAAGGAAGGTCTTCTCCAAGCCTCAATGATGACGCCGGCTTCTTGGCAAGCAGCGGCGTAGCTCTGGACGCTCTGGCAGAGGACGTGGGTGTCCCCTTCAGCGAGGCAAAGGTCGTGGAGGCAAGCTTGGAAATAGAAGGTTGGGTCGATGAGGTGGTGGCAAGAGCCGAAGGGGCCTTCTGGGAGGATGAGGATGCCGCAATAGTTGGGATTCTGGAGGACTACCACCTTCTCCTGCGTGCAGACGGGGCAGTCGTCCTTGGGGCAGTCATCACTGCAAGACACGTCAGGAGTTTTCCAGGCAGAGCCGAAGAGCATCGCGTTGGGCGCCTGTTGGTCAGTGGGGAGGAGGAAATCGTCGTGGCGTTGCCCGTTGTAGTTGCCGCAGAGCCCGCAAAGGTGGCCCTGGTAGTTCTGAGGGACCGTGAGCATCACGTGGTGGAGGAGGTCATAACGTAGGACGAGGCCAAAGTCGGTCTGAAGCAGCACGCCCATCCCGTGTCGGTGCACCCGGACCCGTCCCTCGCTCAGGATGGCCGGGAGGTGGTGGGATATGGAGTCCACCTGAGACAGGGGGAGAGAGAGAGAGATCCTCAAGGATGCTACAAGGAGGAGGTAGGAACATCGAGGGAAACACCTTCCAACCACCGTTCGACTGAATTCGGGGCTCCCACTTTGGAACTGGAAGGCAAAGTGGGAGATGAACATGGCTTTGTCTCGGAGATAGGGGTGAGGTCTCCATTCCATCAAGGAAAAATGACTTTTGGGGTCCCATGTTGGCACCCAAAAAGAGGGGGACCACAAAACCTGGTCTTACTGTGACCGTAAAGCTCTTGCTTCACGCCAGAGTCAATGTGAGCCTGTAGACTTCGGCACCACCACGCTTGCACCCAAAAAGAGGTCACGTTGACCCCCTGACCCACCGAGGTCAACACGAGCCTGTAGACGTCGTCACCAAAATGTGGGGGAGACGGACCACAATGCACAGGTTTACTGCGATGGTTCCCCTCTCGTGTGGAGGTCAACGTCAACCCATAGGCTTTGACACCCGCGAGGTGGCACCCTAAAAGAGGTGGACTGCCACGCGTACACCCACTGGGACTGCGTCCCTCGTGCCCCATGGCAAAGTCAACGCGAGCCCGTGGACTTTGTCACCGACATGTTTTTGCCCAGAAAGAGGTGGACCACGAGGTCCCGCCTTACCGTGACTTCTCTCTTTCCTCGCCTCAAGGTCAACGTGAGCCCATAGACTTCAACGGTCAACGCTTGGATGCCGGAGACCTTCTTCTTCTGCCGGGCCTCCTTCTCGATTTTCACAAGAAGGGGTTGGACGTTCTCACCGGAGCAGGTCTCGGTCAGGACGTAAGAGCAGGTGCCCGAGATGTTGAAAGCCGTCCCGTCGAAGGAGATATAGCTGCGGTCACCGGTGACCACGCAGGTCCCCAGCGTGGTGGACGAGCAACGGAAGACGCTATCGATGACTTCGCCTTCGCTGCCTTTGGGGCAAGAAATTTCTTGGCACTCCACGGCGCCGCCGGCCCGGCACTGACATTTCTCCTGCTTGCTGGGGAAGAAGGTCTCCTCCGTCTTGTAGTAGAAGTCCTGATGGTGACAGCCGCACTGGGACAGGGGGACGCACTCGTCGCCGCTCAGCACGAAGCCTCCGTCGCAGGCGCAGCCCTCCCGGCACCGCTGCGAGCATTTCACCGGGGCGTAGACGCCGCTGCAGGTGTGGGAGCAGGTCTGGGAGCAGATCTCGTAGTGGCTGTTGTCGGGACACGAAATACCTGCCACCGGACAAGGAGATCCGTTAGGAGGAAGGAAATTAGAGGACGGATCCCGCAATTTTTGGCGACGCCGTTGGGGCTGGTGATGAAGTTCATCCGATTTCGATATTTGGGGGTTGATTTACCCAATTACTTCCTGGCTAAATCTCATCTCTTGCTCACCGTGGACGTGAGGATGGAAGAGGTACCCATAAGGGACACTCCAACCCCTTTTTGAGGTTTTGGGCTCCGGAATCACCTCATTTTCCCCATTTTCGTGGAGGAAACGAGGACGTTCCTTCAACCTCCTACATTGGGTCACCCAATCGACTTCCAGGGCAGGTTCCGCTCCCCTAATTTCGATATTTTGGGAGCATCTCACATGTTTTGACGTCTAAGCAACTCAAGCAATTAGCCCTCGTTCTCGATTTAGCCAATGCAAAGAAATTGGGGCTTATCGGGGCTAAATTACTCCAACCGTCGCAGCCGGATGAGATATCTTATTCCCTGGAAGGGTTTGTTTCTGGAGATTGGCTGTAAACAGAAGATGATGGGACCAACCTGGAGTTTGGCTGGGACAAAGCACCACTCGGCGAGATGATTCCCCACCTCTGGTTTGGCCCCACGGGGCTTTGGCCCAGGATTGGGGTCCCCTTAGACGCTCACAACCCCTTTAGAGAGCAAAAAAACCCCTCCAACACCCTCCAAGGAGCCCAACTTACTGCAGAAGTCGTCCGTCCTCCATCGGCCGATGGTCACGCCGGCGGCCTGGCAGGCAGCGGCGTAGCCGGCGACGATGGAGCATATCACATCTTCCCGGTCTGGGAAGAGGCAGAAATCCCTCACGCAGTTTTGGAAATATTTGGCGGCGTCCACGTGAGCGTGGCAAGCTCCAAAGGGACCATCCACTTGCCGGATGATGCCACAACCCATCATCGAGACCTCCTGGTGGCGCAGAGCCGCTGCCATGGCGGGACATTCCACCTTCGACTGCTCCACGCAACCGGGGATATCGGTCACCTTCCAGCTCTGCCCGAAGGCGTCCGGGTTTGACGTCACTTGGCCGTCCTTCATCATCATCTCATCGTCCGTGTTCCCGTTGTAGTTCCCGCAGAGGCCGCACAGGGCGTCGGCGTAAGTGCTGGGCACCGAGACGGTGACGCGGCTTTGCCAGTCGTAGGTGACGGTGAGGCCGAAGTCCATCTCCACCACCGCTTCCCGCCCACCTCTGTAGACGGAGATCTTCCCGTCTCTGCGGCGGTAGGGTAGGTTGACCAACTGGTCGTTGATCTGGGGACAAAAGGGAAATAATAATAGCAATAACAATAATAGTAACAATAACAATAAATTTGGTGTCCCACAGCAACGGCAAATTGCGTTTTCTGTCTTCACGCCACCCGCGAGCCGGGCTCCAGCCAAAGCACCCAAATTATGGAGACGAAGATATTTTTCTGCCCCAAATACGGACGCCCACCGGCGCCTTAGATCACGCGCCGATCTCCCGCTTCGGCTGGAGATCCTCGTATTTGAGGCCATGAAATCTCGGTCTTAATGAACCTAGGGCCAAACAGAAGGCGGTGGCTCCGGATCTCGGCGGCGCGGTTGGAGGAAAAGCGTTCAGTGTTACCCAATACAGCAGAAAAAAAAGAATAAATAGAGATGTGAGGGTGGAAGAAACCAAATGAGGAGGTTGGGGCGAAGAGGAGAAGGTGAAGAACACGGAGATCCGCCAAAGAAACCTTTGCTAAACTCACCGTGATTTTGCCGGGGTGTTTCTGGCTGATCACGATGTTTTTGCCGTAGGCTTTGACCATCACGAGAGCGATGGAGGACGGTGGTTTGTCATCCTGGTGGCCGTTCTGCACCAGCACCTGGAAGTCCACCAGCCCTCGGCTCTTCTCGCACAAGCCCGTCAACTGGTAGATGCACGTCCCCTGGAAGACGAACCTCCCGCCGTCAAAGCTCTCGTAGTGGGTGGCACCGACGGCCGAGCAGGTCCCGTAACTCTTGGGGTAACAATCCTGGATGCCCTCCTCCACCCGGCACTCTTCCCCGACGCGGCAGTTGGCCCGGCGGCATACGGCCCGGCGGGATTCCGCCTCGCAGACGCAGCGTTTGGTGCAGGTGTCGTCCCCCCAAAACTCCTCGCGGAGGCCGTGGAGGCGGCCCTCGAAGAGGCAGCCGCACTCGGCTTGGGGGACGCACCGGTTGGCCTCCAACACGAAGCCCTCCTGGCACTTGCAGGTCTCCACGCAAGCCGAGGTGTCGCAGTCCGCCGGCGTGGCGGCGTTGTTGCAGGTGGTGGGGCAGGAGGTGCCGCAGGCGGTGTAGTTGCTGTTCTTCGGGCAGGAGAGAGCTGCGGGAGGGATGGGACACCGTGGTCACGTGGGACGGGACACCATGGTCACGGTGGGGATGGGACATCACGGTTGTGGAGGTGATGGGATGCTGTGGTTATGGTGCAACTGTGGTCACGTGGGACACCATAGTCATGGAGGAATGGGACACCGTGGCAAGATGGGACACCATGGTCATAGTGGGATGGGACACCAAGGTGGAATGGGACCCTCTGGTCACGTGGGACACCATAGTCATGGAGGAATGGGACACTGTGGCAAGATGGGACACCATGGTCATAGTGGGATGGGACACCAAGGTGGGATGGGACCCTGTGGTCACGTGGGACACCATAGTCATGGAGGAATGGGACACCGTGGCAAGATGGGACACCATGGTCGTGGTGGGATGGGACACCAAGGTGGGACGGGACCCTGTGGTCATGTGGGACATCATGGTTGTGGGGGTGATGGGATGCCGTGGTCATGGTGGAATGGGACACTGTGGTCATGTGGGGCACCATAGTCTTGGGGGAATGGGACACCGTGGCAAGATGGGACACCATGGTCATAGTGGGATGGGACACCAAGGTGGGATGGGACACCATAGTCATAGTGGGATGGGACACTGTGGTCATGTGGGACACCATAGTCAGGGAGGAATGGGACACTGTGGCAAGATGGGACACCATGGTCATGGTGGGATGGGACACCAAGGTGGGACGGGACCCTGTGGTCATGTGGGACATCATGGTTGTGGGGGTGATGGGATGCCGTGGTCATGGTGGAATGGGACCCTGTGGTCATGTGGGGCACCATAGTCATGGAGAAATGGGACACCGTGGCAAGATGGGACACCATGGCCACGGTGGGACAGGACACTGAGGTGGGACAAGATACCATGGCCGTGGTGGGGACACCACAGCCATGGTGGAATGGGACACCATGGCCACGGTGGGGACGAGACACCATGGTCATGGGGGAATGGGACACCATGGCCATGGTGGGGATGGGACACCATGACAGGATGGGACACCACGGTCACTGGGGCAACGAGACACCATGGCGAGATGGGACTCCATGGTCACGGGGGAATGGGACACTGCGGCCATGGTGGGGACACCACAGTCATGAGGGAAATGGGACATCGTGGCGGCGGTGGGGATAGCACTCCTTGGCCACAAGAAGGTGCAGCAGAACCTACGTGGGCTTTCTGGAGCTTTACAAGGACTTTGTAGAGTCCTTATGGACCTTCTGAATGCACTTTCTGAAGTCCACGTGGACTTCCCAGACTATCTACCTGGACTTTTGGGAGTCTCTGTGGACTCTCGACCTTCTGCATGGACTTTTGGGACTTTGACTTTCTGCGCAGACTTTCTGGAGCCTGCATGGACTCCCTGGACTTTCAGCAGAGACTTCTGGGAGTCTCAAAGGACTCTCTCAACCTTCTGAATGGACTTTTCGCATGGACTTTTGGGACTTGCACTCTCTGGACTATCTACTGTGACTTTGGGGAGTCTTCATGACTTTCTGGACCTTCTGCATTGATTTTGGGGAGTCTCCGTGGACTCCCTGCACCTCCTGCACGGACTTCGGGGAGTCTCCGTGGACCTTCTTCATGGACTTGCTTCTGGAGCCTGTGTGGACTTTCTGGACTTTGAACAGAGACTTTTCGGAGTCTCAAAGGACTTTCTGGACCTTCTCAATGGACATTTAGCAAAGACTTTTGGGAGTCTGCACAGATTGTTTTGGCCTTTCCCCTTGGACTTTTGGGACTTGGGCTTTCTGGAGTTTCTAACAGATGTTCTGCACGGACTTTCTACGTAGACTTTCTGGAGTTTCCATGGACTTCCTGCAGCCTGCATGGACTTCTGGGGCTTTCTGCAACAACCTTTTCCACCCCACGCTTGGCACCCACAGCCCTTTCAAGCCCGCCTTTCCCCAACCTGTTCCCACCTCCCTTGGGAGATGAAGCCCACCAAGAAGAAACATCCCCGTTGACGCGATTTCCCCTTTTACGCCCTCTTTCTGCTCCTTCCCATCCCGTCGCCCTCTAATTACACCTTAATTAAGGTCGTGGCGCCCTGCCACCCAGGGGAGGGAGGATTTTCTGCCGGCCGGGAGTTACTCACGACAATTTGCCGCCGTCCTCCAATCAGAAACGGTGATTCCTTCCTCCTGGCAGTCATCCGCGTAGGCTTTGAGGGCTTGGCACAGCGCGGCGGGGAGCCCGTCGTTCACGCAGAGGTCGGAGACGCAGTTTTTCAGGTAGACCTCGGGGTCAACGGTGGCGTGGCAGCTCTCGAAGGGCCCCGGGTGTTGGGTCAGCAACCCGCACAATGTCTCCCCTTTGTCCTTCATCCCTTCGTCCCCTCGGCGGCAGCCGCCGCAGTCCCCGCGACAGCCGTCCCAGCACCAGCGGCTCTCGTTGACCACCTTCCAGCTCTGGCCCAGCTCCACCGCGTCCCACGCTTGGTCGCCGTCGGGCGTGAGGGAGTCATCCCCGGGTTGGCCGTTGCGGTTGCCGCACATGCCGCACACTTTGCCGGCGAGGGTAGCGGGTAGCTTCACCGCCAGGCGGTCATGCCAGTCGTAGAGGACCTTCAGCCGGAAGTCGGTTTGGATGAGGACGGACTTGCCCTTCTGCTGCAGGTGGAGTTTGCCTTGGGCGAGGGAGATGGGGAGGCGGGAGCGGTGGTTGTTGACCTGGAGGAGGAGGAGGAGGAAAAAAACCAAGCAAATAACATCAAAGGTGGGGAAAAAAAAAATAAATAGAGGTTTTTTGAGCTTTGAGGTGTCTCCTTACAAGAGGTGACCAAGAGGTGACCGTGTGGTGGTGTCCACTCACACGTGGTGAATCACTGAGGTTGGAAAAGACCCTTAAATCATCGTTAAATATGTTATTCCAGTGAAATACCGCAATATGGCTTTGGATTTGGTAATTTCTTGTCCTTGCGTACCCTCACGATCCCGTTCTCGGCCCTGACCACGACCACGGTAACGTCATAGACGCGGACTGTCACGGCGCCAACGGAGGAGATTTGGGGGCTGCCCCTATGTTCGTTTTTGGCCTCCACGCTGAAGACGGGCAGGGCGGGATCCGGATCGCAGGTCTTGGTCAAAGTATAGGTGCAGGTGCCCATGAAATCGAAGGCTTTCCCATCAAAGGTTCGGTAGTGGAGATTGCCGGTGGCCCAGCAGGTGGAGAGGGCTTCTTGGATGCACGTGGGTTGCCCGTCCACCATCTCGCACTTCTCCTCGCAACGCACGTTTTCGCAGGAGAGCGGAGCAGAATCTGCGGGGAGGGAAAAAAGAAAAAAGGGGTGAAGAACCCCAACGCCGTGGATGGCAATGAAACCAGCCACGGAGAAGACCCCACCGTCGGCGAGACGCGACCGCGCGTTGGCCCTACTTACTCGTGGCGCAAAGACCGGCGAAACCGTAACCCACGTAATTGTGGAAGCCGAAGATCAGGAGGCCAAAAGGTGCCTGTGGGTGTTCGGCGCTCTGGATCTCCTTCGGGTGGTTCAGGGTGACAGTGGCCCAGGAGAAATCTGTGCCGGGAATGGCTTGCCAAGACATGGTCTTCTCCGCCTTCTGGTTGAGGGTGGTGGTGCTGGCGTCGGCGGTATGGGCAACGAGGACCATGTGGTTCATGTAACGGTTCAGGCCGACCACGCGGTAGGAGGTGCAGTAGGAGGAGACGGGCGGGATGTTGAGGAGGAAGGGGTCGCGCTTCAGCGAGCCGCTGGCGCCGGTGAAGAAGAAAACCACCTGAATCGCAACCGGAGAACTGACGTAAAGAGGGGAATTTTGGCGGATCTCGAACTTGTGGACCTCCCCGGCCTTGACGTTCTTGGTGGCAACCGAAGTCCCCCTCTGGTAGGTGATATGGGCTTTCTCGGCCGCCACGACGTAGGCGAAGTCGCTTTCCCTCTGGAAAGGGTTGGGGGGAACGACGTAGGAGGTGCCCCAAGCGGCGACGGGGAGAAGCTGCTCAACGACGTAGTCGCAGCCCGTGTGGATCTTGACGCAGGTGTGGCCGGAGAGGACGGCGACGGCGTTGTCGGCCTTGATGTGGCTGCCGGATAAATCGGCGGTGCTTTGCAGTTGGAAGCTGTGGTAGGGCTCCAAGGAGATGTGGAGGGTGTGGCCCGGGGAGTAATTCCGCCCTCTGTAATAAAATTTGCCCATCACTTTGATGGCCGCCGTCTTCCAGGCCGCCACCACGAACTCCTTGAGGCCTTCTTTCTTCTTGTCCTCCGGCGTCACCACGTAATACTCGGTGCCCAACTTGTCGACGGGCAGGACGGTGGTGACCCCCATGGTGTAACTCTTGGAGTTGACGGCCAGCACGGAGATCTCCTTGGTGGCCCGAATCAAGAGGGCTTTATCGGAAAGGTGGTTGCCCACCAGCTCGGCGTTGCTGGGGACACGGAGGGTGGAGGTCTCGTCCGCCCCCAGGGTGAGGGTTTGGGCGAAGGTGCCACCAGTCATGGTCACCGTCACCTCGGTGGAGTTGAAGTAGGAGGCCAAGAGGAGCCGGATGTCGGCGGAGGTGGCCCCCTCGTCGTTCTGCAGGAAGACGGCGAGGAACTCCTTGCCGCGGAAAGTGCCGGTGGAAAGACCTGGGGGGGGGAAAAAAAAAAAAGAGGTTTTTTTGGATGGTTTTTGGTTATTCAGGTGTGAAGATGAAAAATGAAGATGATAAATAATAAAGACGATAAATGATAAATAATGATGATGATGAAGATGATAAATAATAAAGACGATAAATGATAAATGAAGACGATAAATAATAAAGATGATAAATGATAAATGAAGATGAAGACGATAAATAATAAAGATGCGAAGACGATAAATAATAAAGATGCTAAATGATAAATGAAGATGATAAAGATGATAAATAATGAAAACAATAAGTCAAGATGATGATAAAGATGATAAATAATGAAGACGATAAATTATAAATGAAGATGATAA